TAGCATCTGGTGCTAGCTGCTCTAACGGATATAAGAAGAAGATGTTTCTACAATAATGTGGAGGGAGAGTCCTCTCCAGTCAGACTGAGAGGCTGATACTACAGCTCAGTAAGGTAAATGAGTCTTAGTCTAAGTTCAAACGGTTTGGTCACAATTTATGTAAACACATATTTCCAAGGCACTCCTTTATAATTATTGGGATAAACAGGTTTGAAATCATTCCAATGTATACTATAGGACAGTAACCAAACATATCCTTTAAAACTGGAGAGATAAAAAAAATGCATACATAAATAAATGTTAAGGTAAAATAAGATATGAATGAACAACACAAATAAAATAAGTTACATTCATTTGTTATTGGCTATGGTAGGCTATTGGTTATGTTCACATATTTATTTGATTACATCCACTTGTCTAAGATCACAACAGAGACTTTCGACCCAAAACCAGCTGTTGACTTGTGGATGCAAGCATCTAATCGCAGACTCAACCAGAGAGGAAGTAGTAGGCCTACATCATCAGCTACCATGTCTGACAGAGAGGAAGACAGTGAGGAGAACAGTCAGGAGGGTAGTGATGACAGCTTGTAGGATTACTGGTCGTGCTAAAGTTGTCTTGTGTTCACCTCTGCATGTGTGTTCTGTGTTCACCTCTGCATGTGTGTTCTGTGTTCACCTCTGCATGTGTGTTCTGTGTTCACCACTGCATGTGTGTTCTGTGTTCACCTCTGCATGTGTGTTCTGTGTCGTGTGTCTGGCAAATAAAGACCCCCTCAAAAGTGACGGTTTATTTCATTTTAAGGATGAGCACCAAGCAACATCTCCAGGTGCTCCTTTGAGAACCAGGGCAAAAAAGTTATGTGCGTCCCTGAATATATGTTACTTTATGCACAGCTGACCCATAGGAGGTAGTTTAAGTTATAGACTACTGTTGACCGGGATATAGACCATCACTTGTAGATATGGTTTCCTCCTTCTAGTAATATATTCATCCTGCACTAGCCTTTTATTTTGCAAAATGCTGGGACAGGTTGCAAATGTGAATACTTGTTGGTCACACCTAGATGTCAATAGGTATCCGTGTATTTGTCCAAATCCATGTAGTTCAGTATATTGTCCCTGGAAACAGAAAGAACAAGATGCTGCACTGTTTACAGTAGCATCACCAAAATGAATCTATTACAGGGTGTTGGGCCAGCCATAATGTTTCCTCACAGCCACGAATCAGTCAGTTAATGTCGCATCCTTGTAAAGAGCACAAGCTGATGTACTTCAGGAATGTTCCACTGGACTGTGTGTACTTCCTAGACACTGAAGCCTCAGTGCTTATGGACATGCTAATGGTTCAGTCCAGTTCTACAGCTGTGTTCTAAGCACTGACAGCATGTGCAGTCTGCTGGTAAAATGGAGAGACAGTCAAGAGACTTGAAACTTGTGCAGTGCAGCACAGCCTCTAAAGGTGTTAAGGTGTACAAAGCGCCCAGTCAGCCCTTCTTCAGTAATATCAGCTAAACCTGCAGATAAATGGGCTGTGAACCGAGTAAACAGCGGTCACATGTACGGACCAGTTTTACCTTGCGGTTAACCCCGCCAAGAGGTCTCGTCGCTGCACAGAGGCTCATCCCTCTGTTTCACTCTGTTTCCTCACTCTGCCCTGAGCCCCTCACAATACCACTGTGACCCACGTCTTCTCAGCACATCTCATCATGATGAACACTTCAGTTGTTTCATCAAACTTCATTCACATAACCAGTTGGATATTTCCAAAAATGATTTATTTACACACCTCTTGATCTGCTATCTACACACCTAACAATTATAAGCCTATGGAGTGGTGAGTGATGACGTGTTTTTGTAAGCTGACCCGAAAGTGAATGTTACAAAAAGTCAATAGGATTTTTTCATTGGAGTTTGGATTATAGCAGCATCAAATCTCTGTGGCAAACAAACCTTCATTATACTTGCAGCAGGATCACTTCCACATATTAACACCACTTTTATAAATGGTTGAAGCGTAAATTCAATAGGCTTGAGCAAATAGCCCATTTTAGGCTATATACAAACTACATCACAGTCACATGACTTCACGTCACCACCGCTAAAGTTGAACTTGTGTTAGCTGTGATGATATTACGTAGTCTCATTTAGTCACTCAATCAACCACCTTGGCTCTTCTCAGCTTGTGTTATGCACAGGCTGTACGTAGGCTTCTAACCAAAAAACATTCAATAACATCTTTAAACATGGCCACTGCAGTCTTCTGTCTTCAACCTCTTTCCTTCTCTTGTTCCCTTTTTCTTGTCTTCTTTTCTTTACTGGGGACAGTTAAGCCACCATGAATCCAAAGCTTCATGAAAATTGATATTCAAAAAGGATTCCATGGTGTTTTCCGATGGGAACAAATAATGTTGACGTTAAATTGAACGGACTTCTTTCTGCGGAAAGACACGATGGCACAGAGTCCCTTGATCCTCCTTAGCAGCTGTGTGTTACCGAAGAAATCCAAATCCAAATTGACCAATCAGAAATGAGTATTCCACTAAGCCTGTGTAATAATTTACGGATGAAGATGATGATGAAGATGATGATGATGATGGTGGTAGAGATGGTGATGATGATGAGGATGAGACGATTGGACTGACACTGTCAATTCCTGCCTCATCTTTGCTTTTGTCTTGTCAATGCTTTGTGAGTGGTGAAGCAAATCTACATCTCATAGATCTGATTCAAAGAGTGTTCACATTGATGTGTTGTAGCATAAATACAATTGAACACACAATGCACACATTCCCTGGAGTTTGGAGTTACACATCTAAAAGTATTTTATGAACTGGGTGGAGACTAAGTGATACCAATCAGTGCCACGAACAGACACAATACACCATTATAAAGTCAGAATGCCTGGATGAGCGAGCGGTGGCCTGTGGGTTCTTAAAATATCTCTTTAGATCTTCTCTGTTTATTAATTTCTCTCCACGGACTGACAGCAGCTGATCAGAGGGGGATATGGGACACCACGGCTCCTTCCCTCTATTTGCCCGTCAAAATTCACATAATCACACTAATATCTAGAATGCGCAGGCTGATTCCTGCTCAGACACCTGTCTGTCATCATCAGGGGAAATCAGCATCACAGACAGAGCTGTGATTATTTCCTCCTGCAGCAGCAGCATGGGGCCGGAGGGGGCTCATTTGGAGGATTGTGCTCTTGTTACTTTACTGGCAAACACTCACAGGAAGTGTCTGCTCTTTATATAATCATCGCCTTAAGCCTTTTTGTGAAGACCCTGTACAATATTTCAAAGGTCCAATGAGACACCTCTATGGCCAGTGTGTGTTGAAGACACAACAACTTCAAAATAAAAGTGAGAGATTAGAAATCCAGATGACTTCTTTCAGTTTTCTAAGGAGATTGCTATTGCATGCTCATTCATGACTTTATACAATACCAACACCTTGCATGTACAACGCCTTATAGATCACAGTGTGTGTCCTATTAATGATTGGGTTATTTACATTTGCACAAGTGTGTAGATAAAAATGGAATTGCTACCATTTGTGAACACTTTGATATCACTGTAATTCAGTGTGTCCATGGTATGGGTAACTTGAAAAGCTGTTATTGGGTTTCTGGATGAAACCCAATAACAGCAGTGGTGAAGGTACTAAACCGAAAATGTAGAAATTCTTAAAATATTAATTATATATTTTATTTTTTGTGAAATGTTGTATAATTTCACCTCTTTAGAGACGGAACAGAATGCAGATTTCTTGAAAATGACGCTCAAGGACAAAGACTTTGACTTCCGAATATTAACATCAGGTAGTCTTCGTTAGAGGATATGATGACATAGTATTGGGGTTCGACACACTTCAAAATGTAAAACATAGAAATAGTGCTCACACTCCCGAGTCCTTAAAGTTATTCTCCCCAAACTCTGTCTCCCCCGTGTCTCCCCCCCCTTTGTGTCTCATTTCCAGCCACCAGTGGAGTGTTTCACTCAGAACTATGGGAGACATGTGGATAATGTGGGTACAGTAAATGCAATCAGGGAGATGATGATAACACCTACAGTGAGCCTGTTTCTCTCTGTCTGTCTGGATGAATGAAATGAAATAAGCATTATTTATTTCACTTTTAGTCCAAGTAGAGATACTGTATGTATGCACTTTGCAACTTCAAGTCTCAGTAATTATATTATGTGTCTGTAACTATCAAAAACTGTGTAATACTAAAGTGTGCTTTGTATTTTATAGTCTACGCCAAGGAAGTCTGAAATTCTGATTATCTTTCATTTTCCTATTTCCAGTTGGGAGAAAATCATATTTTAAGTCCTGTAACAATAGTTTCTATACATGGGAGCTCTGCTAGATGTAAACAGGAAGAATAATGTTGCCATGGTGACACTTGCTCATAGATGAGCAACTCATCCAGGTACTTTTCCTCATGGTCACGCCTCTTTTTGGGTGAAAATATCTGCTGTCATTTGACTGGCAGTAAATTCAAATTCTGATGTCTGCTGCAATCCGATCAGAACATTAAGAATACTGTGCAATTATTATCTACATGGAGCCCAAATATAATGGTCAGTCAGGCAAACAATCACTCAATATCACTGGAGATCGATGATCGGCAACGATATGCTGGAAGTACTAAACAATAGGGGATCGATTACCTTTTTTAATCTAATGGTTGACGAGTGGCTAACTCTAAACTGGGATTCCCTTGGCTTGTCAGTGTTTTATATTTTATTGAAGCTTCTATATTCATTACCTTGACTTTGAACATTACAACGGTTTATTTTGATGATTGACGTTAACCTGTGAGACCACAGAGTGAAAAGGTTTGAGAAGAGAGAAGATAATCTGAGAATTCTTAGACAAAATAATTCTGACTTTCTCTGACTTGAATCTCAGAACTAGTTTGAAGTCCAAGCTGACAATCATCCAAAACCTCAGACAGATTTCAAGAGATAGCACAGCAGAAGTAGGACCGACCTGTCTGATGGTGCGGGCCACCAGGCTCTCCAGAACCGGTCCTCGGTCCTCATGTAGGAGGTGGACTTCATCCAGGATGAGGAGACGCACGATCTGGGAGAGAGCCACGTCTCCAACACTCTTCCTGGTCACTACATCCCATTTCTCTGGAGTCGTCACCAACATCTGGAAAACACACATGGAGACATTGGAACTGGATACTGCTTGTCTGACAGTACATTTATAACAATTCACTAAAAGGACACAAGTTAAATAAATGACCATAACATGCACAATAACCAAAACATATTAGAAATGTTCTTTTTTCTAAAAACAACATCAAACTAACTTAACATGAGAAATACAAAAAAGTGGAATCAGGAAAGATGTATACAAGCAGTTCTTTTGTCATTATAAAGGCAGTGAATCCCAATGTGTTATTAGTATTGGGGTTCGACACACTTCAAAATGTAAAACATAGAAATAGTGTCTGATGATAACACCTACAGTGAGCCTGTTTCTCTCTGTCTGTCTGGATGAATGAAATGAAATAATAATGCCTTTATAATAAGCTAATGTTGACCTGCTTAGTTTCTGTAACTCAATGCTTACTTAAAAAATGGCGTACGCCAGTTTCTACGCAATGTTTGCGATTTATAAAATACTAACTTGACGGGAAAACGTGCGGTCCTCCACGCAAACTCTAACCCACTAAGCACAACAACGGGAGAGACGAGAAACTGCGACGCCGTTGGCAGAAGGAAGAATGGAGAGAAATATGTGGAAATAATACCATAAATAAAATGTTACCTCTCATTTATCATATATGAAGAATTCATTTTCAAACATTGATAAAAGCCAATCTTAAAATGATTAAACAAACGCTTGTTTGCGACTCCTCTATGGGCTCAGAACAGTCTCATAATACACACATACACACAGAAGGATTCACACTTGTATTTCATGATCTGCAAAAGGATTCAAACTTGTATTTCCGGATCCACACTTGTGTTTTTCAATGCACACACAAATGTGTTCCGTTTCATATACATGTAAATAAAATCCAAATACAGAAAAAAGTTTTACATATGTATTTTTGATCCTCACATATTTGTTTTCCGTTTAAAACCTCTGAACCTGCAAACACAAACAGCTTTCTGTGCACGGATCGCTTTGCATTCGTGTGTGGGTTTTTTGAGACTCCCCTGACTGTCAGCCGATTCGTACTTGTAATTATTTCTATCTATAGCCAATCAGATGTCTCCTTCATTCTAAGCCAATCACATGAGCGCGCCCCCACGAGGGTATGATTTCTTGCGGTCATGACGTAGCGCTTCATGTACGCATTTTGCGCAGTCCGGAGCTGACAGGTCCATGGAGCCTGCCTGCAGGCGCTAATCTCAGGACACCTCCACTCTCAGTACAGCGCCACTTTCCGAACAGGAAATGCACGCAAATACAAGCCTTTATATTATTAAGGTACAGCGCCACTTTCCAAACCATTGATGAATGCTTGTGTACACAAAAACGGCAGGCAAAACCATTTTAAATGTGTGTTTCCTGTATGGCGAATACAGCTGCTTTATTTATGTCTGTATGAAGTTGTTGTGAGTGTGGAGGGAGCAGCTACAGGTTAGCTTAGCCTAATCGATCAGTGCACTACGAAGCCAGTGCTAGACAGTGACCTCGGGGGGGAGCCCCGCGGGTCATTATCGGCCGATATTCACTCTTAATAGTTTGATCGGTGCTCTCTATAAAGGCCGATCAGGAGAGCTGGATCTGATCGATATGGACATAAACGCGAGTGAAGTGTAACCGGACGCAAGAGAGAGATCAGATCAGCTGCTGAGTCTGATGGAGACACGCTGCTCTGCATGATCACCTGATGCTCCGCCCTCTGTTTAGCGAGCTGACCGGACTGCGCAAAATGCGTATATGAAGTAATCTTACCCTCGTGGGGGCGCGCTCATGTGATTGGCTTAGAATGAAGGAGACATCTGATTGGCTATAGATAGAACAAATTACAAGTACGAATCGGCTGACCGTCAGGGGAGTCTCAAAAAACCCACACACGAATGCAAAGCGATCCGTGCACAGAAAGCGGTTTGTGTTTGCAGGTGCAGAGGTTTTAAACGGGAAACTAATATGTGAGGATCAAAAATACATATGTAAAACTTTTTTCTGTATTTGGATTTTGTTTACATGTATATGAAACGGAACACATTTGTGTGTGCATTGAAAAACACAAGTATGGATCCGGAAATACAAGTTTGAATCCTTCTGTGTGCATGTGTGTATTATGAGACTGTTCTGAGCCCATACTCCTCAGTGAAATAAATAAATACATATGTTATTTAAAACTACCTCGAATATGTTGTGCTAATGTTATGAAATGTTTTCTCATAAATGATGCGTTAAGCAGGAGGACAGAAGTACGTCTAAACTGACGCCGTTTTGCATTTCTATAGGTTGTAGATACGAGCATGGTTTTATATTCTATCATGTTTAATCGTGTTTTATGCCTTTTGCCAAGACTTGATAAGTCGCTCGTAAAACACAGGAGGTATGGAAGCTAAGAACACCATATGTGGTCAATTGTACAGTAATATAACACAACACATTAGTTGTATTTCCTTTAACTGGTGGATATAGAGTTGCTGCAGTGGAGACGCTGCGCACAGCTGATCGACAGCTGGAACACAAACCACCAAATACAAAACAATAATTCAGATCCAGTCGTCATGACTCCACTCCGGAGGGATTCCCCGTTCATTTCTTACAGTCTCTCATCAAGGGGGGGTCTCCTGTCCCCGGCACAAACACACTGCCTGAGGAAGGCTATGTGTATTGTTTTTGTCATGAACCTTTTTCGGACCACTTATTTATTTATGTTGGTGACGATCCGACCTCCATGCTGCTACTCTGGTTCAAACGGCATCCACCAAACAATATGATTTATCTCCACCTCCCCAAAATAACCAGAATCTGACACGGTGTGTCTTTTTTAGCTGTTCTGTCGTCATTTCCTGCGATCTTCTTCATAAAGTCAGTCAGAATGAATGAATGAATGAATGGGCGTTTCTTTGACTATTTATAGGCAAATATGGGCGTTACGTGAAGCCCGCAAAAGCTGCACCGCATTTCGAGTCGGTTATGATTTATAAAGGGAAACCGGCGTAGGAAGTGCCGTACGCACTTTCCTCGCCGGTACGCAATGTTTGGTGAATCGGAAAGTTTCTGTACCTATTTTTTAGATTTCTACTACGTAAGCAACCTGCCCACGTGAATCCTGACTATGCTAGTAAGTAAATACACTTCAAGAATGTTATCCTAAAAAGTAAAGTGTAGCCAATGGGGAGGTGCCTTGATCTTGAATCATCTCTAATATCCAGCAGGGGGCGACTTCACTGGTGGCATGAGCAAGCATGTTTGTATAAAGGTCTATGAGAAAAGGACCCTTTTCCTCATTTGATTTATTACCTCAGTAAACATTGACCACATGAGTTGATGGTCTCAATCCCTATTTTCTTGTGTGATTAAAAACAGGATGGCAAAAAGACAACTGTTGTCTCTTACAGTTACATACAAAATATATATTACTTATTTATTATAAGTTGGAATCTATATGCCTGATTTACTTGTTCTTTTTACAAGTATGTGCTCATGTGTTTCAGTGTTGGTTTATAGGCTACTGAAAAAATGTGCTTCATAAAAGGCAGCTATTCCTATAGATAAAATCTCTGAGCAGACATATCGTTTTCTTCTTCTATAAGGTATCATTGTTCTATTGTCTTACATTATACACTGAAGTAAAAAACATCTTATTTCATATTTATTTCCCCTTGTAATCCAAAATTAACGGAAAGTAATCAGGTTACATTACTTTTATACTTTGATACTCAGATTAGGTTACAAGTAAATAGTAATTGTAACAGAGTTTTTAAAGCAACCCTTCCAACCCTGCTTCTATTTTGGTGATTTAGTGGACGGAGATTATATTTTCTTTTGACACAAAGGAGGGAAAAACCCTCTAAACAAAAACACCTGCCTGACTCTCCTATGGAAGTCCAATAATATTCCTGAACACAAGGTTGTCCAAAACAGAAAATAACTAGTCACAGCTGTGTGTGTGATGTTGCCAGAAGTTTATGTTTGTAGTCCTAGAATTATTTTATATAAAACATATTGAAATAATTATTGTTATGAGATTATTGATGAGATTATGATCTCCACAATTTCCTGCTCACTTAACTGAATGACACAGCCCATAAAACCCAGGGCAACACACCCAGAGTCCCTGCACAATGTTGTCCGCTCATGGCTCAACAATGCCCAATAGCCCATAGCTGGGCTCATTACAATGCAGAAAGAAGCACCTAAATCACAACGGCACAATAACAGGTGTGTGACTCACATTACTCACATCTTGTGCGCTGGGTTACATTAGTTCCACAGTGTTTACCACATGTATGTCAATATCCATCTATGATCCAGTACAGTCACAGTACTGTAAGTATCAGTTTGGATGCTGGGGTGTTCTGTGTGATGCGATCAACAATCAGAATACTTTAAATGCTTTTCTTTTTTTCTTTTTCTCTTAAGGCCCAGACACACCAAGCCGATTTTGGCCGTCGGTGGGCGTCAGGCCCGACGATGAGCGTCGACACGCCCTACTCAGATTGGTGTGTACCGTTGTGTCTTTTCAGCCGTGCCGACACCTTTTCGGCCGAAAACCCACCGATTCAACATGTCGAATCGGTGGGCAGTCGGTCAAAGGCTGTCGGCAAAATAAATCACTCTGATTGGCTGTTCAGCTAGCGCATCAGTGCATGAGAAGCGAAACGGAAGTGAGGGACCCAAACAAACTTAAGAAGGCAAATCTGAGATTTCCTTTAACTCCAGCTCTCGACACAGGTTCGGGAAAGCCCCGTGAGCTTCTCGCTGTAGAGGGAAAATGGAACGCACACGTTATTTGTTGTTTGTTTATATCACGCAGTCTGTTCTTCTTCTCTCGGTTATCACAGAGTCTGTCTTCCGGTTGTTGCCTCTTTTGAATGACGAATACACACTACTGCCGCCTGCTGGTGAGGAGAGTTATTGCCACTCACGCATGCACAGTTCGTACGTGCTTCTTGGCCGTCGGCTGAAGTCTTTGCGGTGTGTCCCAGTGCGAAACATGGCCAAGA